TATCACCTGATGAAATGAAGCCATTAGAAAAGGCTATTGACAGCATTTAGCTACAGAATAATAATAACAGACCATTAATGTGTCTATTATCATTTTGTAATCATGTATGCTGATTCCCATTTTTAGACAACATAACAAAAACACACCTACAATATAATCAGTGTTTTTCATTTTATTTAAGGGAGAAAAGGAAAAAAATGCTACAAAACATCCTAACAGTATCCCAATAAAACCTCAATCAGTGCAACAGCTGGAAAACCCAGACATCATTGTCATCGTACCATTTTCAGCAGCAGTGTCACTGCTTTTATTAGAATATTACTTTGTTTAGAAAGAATGCATATTAAATCACATTGAAGGCAGACTTTGTATGCTTGTACACATTTGTCTTAAAACTTTGGCCTCTTTCCAAACAAGCACTACTGCAGTGATCTTCACTTTAGAATGAATCAACTCAGTCTTAGGCAGTGTGTTGATTTCAGTGTAATTTAGTATAAAATGTTCCTATTTCATCAGTTGTTGTTTGGTGTTTGGAGGTAAGATTTTAGTCACGGATTTACTTTTTTTTTTTTTTTTTTTTTTTTTTTTTTTCCTCTCAGTCTCTCTGAGGAAACACTGACTGCAGTTCAACCTGAAAACACAGATTTTTTTTTTTTTTTTTTTTTTTGCTTTTTTCAGAAGCTAAAGTATCAATCTGCCATGACCTCTGACTGGTTTTCGTAATATTACAGTGTCCTTTGCTGGTTGGCGGTTGAAGTTGCTCCAGAGTCACTTCAGCAATTTATTGGTAAACTTTCCTAATTCCAGAGAACTGTATTTAAAAAGAAGTAAATGGCTGTGGCAAAGACATCAGAGTTCTTCAGACATCTACTTCTTAGACCCTGTTTGTCTTGGAACCTACAATTTTGAACCTGTCTGCAGTTGGTAACCAGATTTTGTTATTAATTTGTAGTTTTAGAGCTTAGACTGAGTTAACAGTGAAACCATCATCAAGCTTATGTTCTCTGTGACACAGCTACTCTATAGCTAGAGCAGAGAGTGAAAAGGAGATAGTAATAAGCTGTTTTCACAGTAAGAGTAGGACTACCCATGATAAATAAACTCACTCCTATGTGTAAAATCTGTGGAATATCCCTTTAGGCAGAGCAGGATATGACTGTCAAGTATCCACTTAGACAGTTTTGGGATCTAGATTCCAAAGTCAAAAAAATATCTGACTGAAAATCACTTTAGCAGACTTTAGAAAACATTCAGTTCACACTCTAATAGCCAGTTGGTGCCTGAGCTCAAGCAGGCTACAGTTCAACTTTAAGTTGGAGGTTGTCAGCTATTGGGCACAGCTACTGCTGCATTCGTGGGAAGTAGTATTGGCATGTCAGTGCTCAGTGAGGGTAGTGAGCTACCAATAGTATGGATTCCACTGTTTTAAAGCATAAGTTAAGATTTTTCTGATCAATCATGATACAATACTCACATGCCATATACATGTTGACATTACAGAGTTCATGGACAGTTTGCCATGGTAGCTATGGGACGTTCCCTACATAGCACATTGATACTGTAGGAAATGGTGGTGAGCAATGCAACATAGCCTCATGCAGGTCTACCAGGAAGAAACAGAAAAAAAATACAAATCAATTACTAAAATAAAGATCCCCACTTGACTGAGCTAAGACAGACGGCTAAGTCTTTGTAAGGTTCAGCTAAACTCAAAATGCTTGTTTTCTGTGTAGCAGATTGCTACTAGGCTGGTATTGAGAGGATGAATAATTTGCCACTCATACTTACATATGGCATATGAGTATTGTTTTGAGGCTATCCTTTAAGCCTTACTTTCACCTTTCTCCATGCACCCATGTAACCATGTACGAAGCTACTGCAGTGTTCTACAGTCTAACTCCCTTTGCTTTTATCCTTCATTTTGTCGCTGTGTATATGACTCGGGGTAATCTGTACGGCTGTCTTTAAAGATCATCAGTGATGAGCAGGAATAGTTTCACTAAATATTCAATACAACAGCAAAGAAACAAAGATTTAAAACCGACTATTTACACTTCTTGGGGCATGAGTTTCACTGAAAAGGTCAGAATGAAGCAAACAGACACAAATTGTAACAAAATAAGAATCTAAGAATTTTGCTACAGAGGTAAGAAGTGAGCTGCCAACAAGCATTACATAACAAACATTTATAAAAGATTGCTTTTACAACATGAATAGAAAAAACAACAAGCAGAAGAAATCCTATCTATAAAGGCAGGGGGGTTGAATCCTACTCCCAATATAAAAATAGTTGACATGTATGGAAATAATTTCCATTTCTTAAACTTTGAGCAATATTTGTAAATTTACAGCAAAGGAATAATGACATGGGAAGAATATAATCATTTCTCTGGTCCTTTGCTAAAAGTATTAGTTCTGCATTTTCTGTATTACTCTATATGTAAAGGTGTGTTTAGACTCAATCTGAAGCTAATTCATAAATAAAACATGCCAGTTAATGCAAAGATGAAAACCAGACTTTCAGTGCAGGGCAAATAAACTGAGAAAATATCTTGGTGAACTGAAAATGTATCAACATGAATGAAAGATTTACACTGTCATTGCATAACTAGAATTCATAAATGTACAAAAACCACAAAATGAGGAGAAAAAACTGGACAAATTTAATCCTGATAGAGCCTCACACCCAGTAGAGGACAAATTATCACACACAGCACAAGCACACTGTGATGCATAATTTCCTAGTTAACTACAGCTAATGCATACAGTCTGTTCTCCATTATGTCAACACTACTTCTCCACCCTACACATTCCATATGCACAGGCATTAACTCTTCAAGAGAGGTCAACTGTGGTGCATGCACTGATTGGCAACTGTGGCTATATAAGCACCATGCATGCGTGGCCTCTTCAATTGCTTGATTTAAACAGAGTCTGTGTGTTAATCTTGGCATTGAGTCTTGTGTGATGAGTTGTGTGCATATACACTGACATCATTGTTGTCCATTCACAGAGTAAGAAGAGAGCTGGTCTATGGGCCTGTCTCTGGATTGCTGTTGTGTCTCCTACACAGGCTTGTGGAAATGTTGCCAGCTATCTTGCCAGCTAGAGTGAGGGCGATCAGGGCACTAGCATTGCTATACAAATGTCCAGCCACTCTGACTGGGCAGCAGCAGGCAAACCTGCCAAAGGTGGTTTTGCATGGCTGGGTCACCCCAGTCGGCTTCAGGTGACCTTACAGTGTGTGGAGGCCATCTGGTGAGGTGATAGACGAGTCAGCAGAGTAAGATGAGTCATGGCCAGGAGCCCAGGAACCCTTACCTCATCTGTAATGGTTTTCAAACCCCAAACTCCTCTTTTCACTTCTCAGGACAGCAGGGAGACCTTTGGAGCAGACGGCTGGGTGGTTTCCAGAATTACCCTGGATAATCATTTGCAGTTTCTGCACCTGTGACTGTGTCAGTGGTGACAGACCTTCAGTGCAGAACTCTCTGCCCAAGGCAAACAATGTCATCGGCAAGGTGAAGCACATCACTGAGCTAGGCTCTTCTTGGTCTATTTCCTGTGGAAAATAGATCAATTGTCGTGGATAGTTGGTGCTTGTTCGCAGTAGCAGTGTCACTAAGATGTAGCCTGGTTCATTCATAACTTGGAATACCTAGGCCTGCACCTAAGAAGGAGGATAAGCAGCCTACAGTCCTCAGAGTCAATAGAGTTCCTATGCATATGGTTAGATGTTAGGACATGAATCCTTTTCTGAACTCCTGAATGGCCTCAGGGTTTGCTTGTCCCACCTCAAAACCTGCGAGCCAGAGTGCTGGTGACACACAGGCTGCATATAGCCTTCTGTTGGTGGGAGCAGCTGGCCAGTTAGACAGGGGGCAATGTGGAGGGCCCAGTTCTGCTTTGCTCCCTCCCCTGCATGGCCCAAGACTTCTTCCAGTTCCTTCCAAAAATATTGGAAGGGAAGTCCTCTTAACTTTGAGGAGAATGGTGGCAGCCTTTGTCGGTCCCACAGAGTTGCTCCCTGCCAAAGCAGACCAGCTGTCCCTCTATGGGATTTGGGTGTGGTGGCGATGGCTACACAGCAGGAGCCTTTTGAGTCCCTTAAAATGAATTCTTATTGATTATTGTTAGTTAAAGAGTTGGTGTGTTCTATATCCTTTCAGAGCTTGAGGAATGCTGCCAGGTGATGTGAGGTGATGCCCAAGGCCTGCATTTTATCCCAAGGTCTTGTCTTAGTTCTAGAAGTTTTTAGTTCTTGTCTGAGTTCCACACCAGCCAGTCTACTGAGCTGCACACTTACCACCCTCTTCAGGACAGTGAAGCAAGTGAAGTAAAGTGAGCAGTAACATACTGTGTCTGGTCAGGGCATGGGCCCGCAGGACAACAGGTTTGTCACAAACCAAACTGGCTGAGTCAACCTGTCAATAAGACAAGGCTTTCTCATTGGATTGTGGAGGCAGATAAAAAGGATGGCAGTCTGGCCATGGCAGTGGTGTGTGCACATTCCACACAGGGTCTTGTTACCTAATGGGCCTTATGGCAAGGTGCATCCAGAGATTTGTGTAGCGGCCCTTGACCTGAATGCATCCATTTTTATTACGTTCTACTGTGTTCAGCAGCTCATATGATGAATGTGTGCTAGGCTCAATGGAGCAGGTCATAGCTTTTGACATACAATGCCTCCGGGACCATGGCTGTCATAAACGACTCCGATGGAGTGTAGTGATGTCATTTTCTTTCAAAGCAAGCCTGCAATCTTGGCAAGCTACTGAGTGGCCCATTTAAAGTTGGCCTTAGTGTTAGCTGTAAATACTTTTTAGGTTCTCTGGGTGGAGAGACTATCTTTCCGACTCCAGGCGAGTTGCCAATCAGCGTGTGGTTACCACAGGTGGGGTGATTTAAACAGTATTTGTGTCAGCTGCCCATGTGGGGGTTATTCCCCATTCATATCAAATATGTATGATTAAGAAATAGCCTCTCCACCCAAAGAAACCTGGGTTACAATTGGAACCTTTAATTGTCATCTATTTGGGGCAAAATAAAAGACAGCAAATGTTTCTGTCAGAAGTTTAAAAAACTGCTGTGTTAAAGTCATACTGGTGGTACCATAATGACTCGTTTCAGCTGCAGCATGTGTATCAACATCAAAATTATAATTACTACTGGAAAATCTGTCTTCTTCTGAAAATGTAGACATACAAACAACATGGCATTCCAAGTTAATTCAAATTATATTGACCACTAAAAACATTGTCAGAAGACAAATGGCACATGCTGCCCATTTAAATTAAGAACTCAGTCAAATATTTAATTTTTTGGCAGATAAACAAAAGTGATGGTACATGTACTATCAGATAACATTTACCCTTTTACAATTTAAAGACCTTTTTGTTTTGTTTTGTTTTTTTAAACAAAACAGCCATTCTACAATTAAATTTAACTGTAAAATCATTAAGCAGATGATTTTTCAAAAAGAATTACAATTATTATTTAAAAAATGAATTAAAGTGCAAATTATGAATGTATCCTTTTGTGGAAACACTACCCAAAATTACCTCATCTATTTTCCCCACAACCAGCCTGTATAGCAAGTATGTTTTCCATATGTATGTGTGTGTTGGGTTTTGTATGGCTCTGCATGTTTGGAGAAGGACTGACATCTATTGGTTAAACTATGGTGGTGTACAAGGTTGTTGTGCATGTGTATGTGTATTAACAGCAAGTGAAGTTTGTAAATCAACTTCAATGTCCCCAAAAGGTTGCAGACTTGTATTTGACCTATGTCGGATACTAGTCCAGTGGTTTTAAACAGAAACAGTTTCCAAAAATATATCTTTTAAAACCTGTCTTGGCATTTGCATCATAAAAATATTCCTTGTAGCAAGAGTTGGAGAACCAGATAACAGTAAAATGGAGGTTAGGCCTCCATCTAACACTTGCATTCTTTCAGATTTTTTCCAACCAATATCCACAGGTCTCTCTAGTAGAAAAAAATGTTGACAAGTAAAAATATTCACATGAATAAAAAAAATGGGAACTGTCATACTTGCATTTAGGATTGGTCACTTTACCAGTGAATCCAGCTGGTCTGGGATGTGGCTAAAGAACCACTATGGATGTTCAGCTCCACTACACTTTACTGACAGAAGTGCCATGGATAAATATAGAAAATCTGGTTATTCTGACAATGCTGTTCTCTTTAGAGTAACTTTTATATTGCCAATTCTGAAAACTGTCAGCATCAGACATCAAGTCTGAGCATGACCAGTTACACTACCATCACTGGGCCAAGGCATAGCTCTACACCGATTGTATGCTTTCATGTTTACATTTTGTGACTGAGCCTTCAGGTAAAGCACTGAGATGACAATGAGCCAAGGAAACCAGGGGTCTACGTATGTTTAGCAATAAGAGACTACAGCAGGCTACAGGGCAAGATTTAGTCCAAAGCAAACATGACTATGGGCAGTGAATGTTGTTCTGTTCATACTACAGTGAGGGTCTATGTACACAGATGTATGTCTAGTGCCACAGATGGTTCACTTAAACCTATGCAGACATTATTTCCAGAAGATGAAACATACGTTCCATCTCAAAACATGAATGTGGACAGCATTAATTGGGTCTGTCCTAAATCAATATTTTTTATATAATATCATTATTATTACTATATGTTTTGTAATTGATTTGTTTTTAAAATTGTTGCTTTTTATTATACTACTATAGGTTCTTTTGGATGGGAAAAGATGCCTGAGAATATGAGTGGGAAGACAGAGGGTTTAGTTTCACAGTGGTGTGGCACAGCTTTATGTCCAAAGCTGGCAGTAACTTGACTGAAAAGGTGGAACTCAGTAAAAGATGCTAACCTGGATGGGCTGCCCCTCTACCAGCCGTTAGCTACTGTTATCATGACTTCATTATAGTCAATCATCAATCATTTTTGGACATCTCTTTAGTGGTTTATCCAACTAATGTAACATCTGTAGCTCATGGGACTTTTCAATGACATATTCCAGTTCATTCACTGAACATATATGGAATGGTTCAGTAACTAAACTTTAACTTTACTTTAGAGCTTATTTTTGCCGTTTCAATTTTCATATATTCCTGTTATCTGACTGTCAGTATCATATTTATACTTAAAAAACATAATCCATACACAGTATATCGTAAAACGTATCTGTTTGCTGGTGTAGATACTCAACACAATACTCACAATATTTTTCTGCTTGTGTTATTACAGGGACAACTGCCAGTCTAAAGTGCACTGTCAAGCTTAAATGGGATTTGCCCAGCCAGCATGACTGTATGGAGCAGTTCAAATGAGCAAATTCCCTCTTTTGGTCTGGTTCCACTAGGTTACTCCAGTGAAACTAAACAGCTAATGGATAGAAAGAGAATTCAGCCTGATTTTATTACCAACCAATCCTAAAATCTAAGGAATTTCAGTCTCTCTGTGTGAAGCGTTCTGTTGCTGTCTGTTAGGGAGGATCCTTATCTACAGGTTACTGACCACGGCCATTTGAAGTTATGAACAGTACCACTGCAGTTTTTGCAATGGGCCAGTACCTCAACTGGCTCACGGCAGCAAGTCACCTGCAAGCCTTTCATTCCTGAGCAACAGGGCAAACTCCTCTGCTGTGTATATCAGCAGGCCTGTCAGTGCTGCTTCTATGATTACTGTGATTGTGTTTGAAGGGCAAGTGTGGCTCTGGAGTTGTTGGTTATTGATTCATTGTGTTTTATACTTTGTTTTATCTTCATCTTTGCAAAATGCTTCACAATTAAACCTGGCTGACTTGCTGTTGAAAGTTTTTTAAGTGAATTTGCCTGTTTCAGGTTGGTTGCTGCAGACCATTCTATAGAAGAAACTGGAGCCTGTGTCCCTGAGCATCAACCAAGTTTCTCAGTGAGAACCAGCAGCCAGGATTTCATAGCAAGTGAAGTCACAGGCCTGTGACCAGAAATGGTTCTAGTCATAGACCTGAACCACTAATTGGGTTTTATAATCAGCAACATGTTTTAAACTCACAGACAAGACTTTTTTTTTCCAGGGAGGTAGCCCTTCATGCTGTGGTGGTCCAGATGGTCAGGTGAAGCTGTACATCAATGGACTGTTTCCAAGCTGTAGGTTGGGATTTATAACATCAGTGAATGATGAGTTTTGGTTGAATTGGTCCAAACAACTTAACATTTGACACAGTCACTGTATCCTTCCCAACCCCTAGAATGTTTTGTCTTCTTTTGTTTTGTAGTGCAGCAAACTGTCTGTACTGCTACACCCGGAAAAAAGTGAGGTTATCACCAAGCTGAGTAGACTCCTCCGTGATGAGGGTCCAGTAGAGACAGTATGAACCTCGCTGGGTGAGGTGTGTCTGTTGACTGGGTGATACTCTCTGAGCCGTGGAGGAACAGCAGCAATGCAGAGGGATGAGTATGACAGTGGTGTGACTGTTGTCAGTTTTCAGCCAGTGACAGTGCCAGAGCTGCCTGCAGTGCTGCCTCTTCATCAATGCTGTAATCCTAACAAAATGCAAAAAAGGGAACAAAAAACATCTACAGGTGACTGCAAACCACACAATTCATCGTAAAACAAAAGCACTTCTACAGACTGTCTGTTATTTAAGGTGCATAGAATCTCCAAATCTAAACAAATCAATCCTACTGAAGAAATGAATGGAAAAATCCCCCTACAGTGTCTTGTTAGGGTGATGGGCCACCATGTGCCACCAGAACAGCATCATATCATAAGATTTCATACTCATTTATAGATAACCTTTGGAGTGTGTGTGTGTGTGTGTGTGTGTGTGTGTGTGTGTGTGCCATCCTGGAAGAGACCACAATCAGGATACAAATGCTACATCATAGGATAAAGATGATCCCTAAGAATGACTTTGAATTGATTTGCAGTCCACTTCTTCCTTTTAAGTGAAGAACTGGACCCAAACCTTGCCAGTAAAATGCCTCCCATAGAGTAACAAAGTCACTGGATCTCCTCATTATAGGATTCAAAGGTTCAGGTTCTTCCTTTGAGTTGCCACCATTCTGTTCCACTCAAGAGAAAGGGAATATGGTTTCTTTCAGAGTTGATAAATTTGTTTTCCTTGCCATTGGCGTTGCAAATGTTAACTTAAAATGTTAGAAATCATGACTGCACTGGACTTACAACAAAGGTGTCATATGAGAACTTATGTCTATGGAGAAGATGCTGGAGAAAGTTGGAGCTCTTATAGCTGGGGTCACCCCATGGCATGGCTGAACACACCGGACACACCTGGAGGTACAAATACACAGCTTTGTTACTGTTCAAGTTAGTGCAACAACTACTAGCACATGTATGTGCACGTATATGTAGTGTGTGTATCAGACACTGAACTGAATACAACAGCAGAGTTTTATCTACTGTTGAAGTTGTGAAGAGAAAACTGCCACCACAACCGTGTTGAGCATGTGGGCCTCATTTGGTCTCCCAAATCCACTAGGTTTTCAGTGCACCCATAGTATCTGTAAGGTATGCGACTGATAGAGTTCAAATGTACTTTTTTCATACAGTGACTTGTGGGGAGGGCTGCAAGGTGG